GAGCTTCATCAGCTCTTTATTTCAGCTCTGCAGGAGTTCAGCTCAGTCTCTTCATTAGTTCAGCAGCTTTAATGCAGCTTTAAATGTCAAAACGTGGAAATTCTGAACATTTGTTCTATATCTAACCTGCTGCTAGCATGTTAGCTAAATTAAAATTGGCCCCTTATTCTTTCATTTTCAACTTTTTCTCCGTCTGGCGGTTCGGACAATTCTACAAAGAAGCCGCACATTCTTATGAGCCGCATGGTTCAAAGCGTGGGAAAAAAGTAGGAGCTTATAGTCCAGAAAATACGGTAGCTCATTTATAGGTTTGTGAACTTAGTTTATTTGAGAAAAAGTGAACTATGAACGTGAGCTGGTTCGTTTTGATCTGTGTGATCTGAAGTTTGAGCTCATTGTTTTTAATCAGGAACTGGGAAAACATTGTCTGAGGGGACGTCAGGTGTTCGGGGGCCATGGTTGCGTCCCGCTGGCTGCCCTACTGGCCGCCCCACTGGCCGCCCCACTGGCCGCCCTACTGGCCGCCCCACTGGCCGCCCCTACTGGCCGCCCTACTGGCCGCCCCACTGGCCGCCCCACTGGCCGCCCTACTGGCCGCCCACTGGCCGCCCCACTGGCCGCCCTACTGGCCGCCCCACTGGCCGCCCACTGGCCGCCCCACTTGCCGCCCCACTGGCCGCTTTTAGTTTCAGTGGCCACCCCAAGATTTTTAGTGGCCCCATCTGCCCCCCCATTAAACATTTCTGGAGGCGCCACTGCTCACGTCATCTAACCATCAACATCACTGACTTATTGGTTCCCTTAGTTCATAAATATATTGCTCTTTAACTCTTCAGTGCTAAAACTTACTGAGTCAGTGGAATTATCTTAAGTAATGATCTTGGTGATTAAGTGAGATAATTGGAATAAGAGAACAGAATTTGGGGTGGGGGGGTAGGGGGGTAGTTTCGGTCTGGGAACAGCTGACCTGAGGGGTTCATCCAACAGGAAAAGGATAATCAAACATTGTTAGGAGTTTCTAGAGGAAACCTGCTGAGCTGTAAACTCTAGAGAGGCTCTCTGTACTTTGACCCTGATGTAAACAACCCAGACTCAACTACTGGCTCAGCTGTTTTATAAATCAAAAAAAGAGGAAATGCGTCCGATATCAGAGCAGGAGGAGGATGATCTATCTGCACTTTCCCATGTTTGAATTTTATCAGCTGCTTTCGAATGCTCAGCAAATAAAAGAGGACCACAGTGTTTAAAGCGCCGCTGTTTAACATTGAACCACTGGGGGCGCTAGATCTGTAACTTCCTAGTTTAGTGAACCCTGATTTCTCCTGTTTGGATTTGGAGGATACCTGATTTATTTACAATTACATGGATGTACATCATGTCATTACAATAAATCATGTGTCGTTTTGTATAAACTCCAACCTTTAGGAGGGTCGTCGGCCATCTTTATCTCAGCATTTTATCTTTCTCTGTGCTTAGATGGTTCTTCCAGTCTATCAACAGAAACTGAGCTGCTGAGCGACAAACCCTGGAAAATAGAGTCCAACGTCTCTAAAATATGAATCACAGAAAGCAAACATTGTAGAGAAGCCTCTAAGATGCAATCGGATGTTTTATGTTACACACATTAAAGTAAAAGGTAGAACAGACAGCATTACAGGAAAAACAAGCTCAGCCTGCTTCCAGGTATCAACACAATGCCAGGGCGGAAAGATCTCCAGATCTTTCCATTTCCCATCAACCTGGGAAGGGTTATCAGGTAATCTGTCAGGTAAACCCACTGAAGTCCAGCATCCTGCAGAGACGGAGTCCGTCTTCCTGGAGAACATTTCACACCAGCCATCCCAGCAGATCCGGGCTTAGAGGAAGGACCACAAACTCATGACCTCAGAATCGACTCGAATCCAATCTGTTTAGTTTAATTCCATCCATCCATCTTCTTCTGCTTATCCGGGATTCGGGTCAGTAGACCAGCTCCTCCGGGGGAATCCCAAGGCGCTCCCAGGCCAGCTGAGAAACATAGTCCCTCCAGCGTGTCCTGGGTCTTACCCTGGGCTTCCTCCCGGTGGGACGTGCCTGGAACACGAGGGAGGAGGCATCCTAACCAGATGCCCGAGCCGCCTCAACTGACTCCTCTTGATGTGGAGGAGCAGCGGCTCTACTCTGAGTCCTCCCCAGATGACTACGGAGAAAACTCATTTCAGCCGCTTGGATTCAGGATCTCGTTCTTTCTATCATGAACCAAAGTTTCAGATCATGAGTTAAAAAAAAAAACGTTGGATTTCCGAATTCTCCCAGTAGTGCCCGACTTTAAACTAGTGAATAAAGTGAATGTGATTGGTCGATTATCAAGGGGGCGGGATTGTTGTGGCGGAAGGTTTGCAAGCAGGTTTGGTTGTAGCCGGTTTGTGGGAAGCATCTTGCTAACCAGTTAGCATCTTAGTGCTAGCAGGAAATTCCATTGGGACCAAGTAGCACTAAATTGGTGACTTAGAAACGACGCTGTCAAGGAACGCTATGGACAGAGGAAACATGCAAGAGGAGGAGAGTTTAGTGTCGGAGGTCGTGGATGAGTCTCCTCCCTCATCCATTTTTTATTTAGAGGAGGAAAGCAATTATAGCCCACCTGGAGAAAACTCCACCAGCTGCCACTCCTCTACTGGCCTCTAGAAACCAA